GAACTAGTCCTTTGCCAAACTAACTAATCAAACTCCTTAGTCAAACAAATGCCAGAATTCAGAACCTCATTCCTCAACTGAGAAGGCAACTCTAATCCCAAAATCTGCAATTGGCAAGAATTCTCCACACAAACTTCAGATACCTTGGGGAGGACAACGGGCATCTCCACCATCATATTCAACAAGTAGCTTGAACCCAACCAAATAGAACACCAAAAATTAGAATACTATCCATTCCCAAGTATGCGCCGAGAATTTTGTACCACAAGTTCAAACCATGGTTGCAAAGATCTAAAAATCTTGGATTTACAAAGTCTACAACACCTTAACATATGCTTATTTATTAGGAACTTAGTTGAAAAGCTCTTGCCCGCAAAGAAGAACCTTGCAAAATTCCTCAAACCTATTTCATTCTAAATGCAGCTTGTATATTCTCAAACTTTCTCAAACCCAAACCCCCTTCCCTCTTTGGCTTTTTGATTTCTTGCCAAGACACCCAATCTCTCTTCTTCACTCCTAGCTTACCAGACTACATGAAAAAAGCCATTAAGGAATTTAATTTTACAATAATGCCCTTAGGAAAATTTAAGTAGGAAAAAAAATGCACAGGTATTACATTTAAAACAGTTTGCACCAACTATACCTTTCGCATATTAGATAGCATTTTTGTATACCAACCCTCCAATTTACTTTTAAATTTCTGTATAACATTCTCAAAATCCCTCAACCAACGCCTCTTCGTAATAAGAGGACAACCCCAATAAGTAAATGGGCACATTTTAATAGGAATCTGTTCCAAATTTGACAGTACAACTCTTCTCACCCTAGATATCCTTAAGGAACAAAACAAGGGGCTCTTTAACTTGCTCACTCTTTACCCAAAACTTCCCTCATACTCATTCAAAAAACTCATTGAATTCACCAATGTACTCTTACTACCTCTTAAGAAAAACAATGTGTCATCTGCAAATAGCAAATGAGATAGCATCACAGCACCCCTTCCAGTATGAAAGCCCCTAACCAACCCAGAAGTAAAGAGCTTCACCATAACTTTACTAAAAACTTCGTTAGCTAAAATGTGACGCCCCAAAAGTCGGGGTCCTTAATTTAACAAAATTCGAGCAGAGTCTCCTTTGTACGGGAAGCTCTACCCAAAACACAATCTGTGCATCATATAATCACATGACCCATCTGAGGTCCAATTTACAACATTGACCACACCAGGTCTATTTATAAGTAAACATTGACCACACCGGGTCTATTTATCCATACTCCCACATCATGAATTTATGCATTAAACATAGTTAATAATAGTTCAAAATTATAATTCTTTTACATACATTCCATGCCCAAAACATAGTTTTAACAAAAGTTTTACAAAAACCAAGGTTAAAGGCCACAAGTCGGCCTCTCTTCACCCTTGAGGCTCCAAGTGAGAGCCATCCACCTGTGTATATCCCACACCTAAAATGTTTTCCCACATAGAGTGAGCTACGCTCAATAGAATATCTCCTATAGAGGCTACTCCCCATCCTAGATGCATATAAATGTGCACATGTAACAATTAACAACTATTATCTATTTTAAACAAGAACATGCAATTCAATGTTGGAATTTTACCATGTCATGCCATGAAATTAGGTGAATCTCACTCACGCATTTTAACCTAAGCCCTCATTGACTCCTGCAACACAATGCAATGCTATTGTGTAGAAAATATGACATTGATGAATTTCATCCAATGATCATTTTGTAATAAAAGTCATGTGTTTGTAAAATTGAATCATTGTTGGATGTTACACATCGAATGACTATTTTATAAAACAAAATCATGTGTTTTTGTTGGGTAACGGAGTTCTTAGAATCGCACTGCCAATTCCACAAATTGTTACACTTTTTTAGAATTTCATCGCCGATAAGTGTATGAACCAAGTGGCCGGGTTTTGCACCTGAGGGAGAGTCTAGCCCTGCTTGCTATACTCGACACAAGTTTTTTTTTCATGCAACCATGCGACTCAGTCGAATTTTCAACCCAACTTTCCCGAGCCCACCCATCAATCACCAAGTGTGGTGTTTGATCACACCATGCACACACACCCACCTAATGTGATGTCTCTATACAAATGCAACAGAATGAACTATTGCAAAACAACGTCAAGTCCCATATGTAATGAATGTCATATGGATCAATTAAACCACATACTTCAACATATGCCAAGGTAATTTATATTAAATGCATATAATTACCACAATTTATCATGATATTAATATACTAATAACATATATCAATTACCTTTTTCTCAAGCATGTCATACATAAATTATGTCATAACAAGCTTAATTCTCATGTAGGCATTTAGTAGAACACCTTCAAGGCACCAATCATGTTATCACATAACCTATGTAAATAACTCATTTCTTTCACAAGGCACGATATAACACATAGCATGCCCACACAATACCAAGCTTCAAGAATTTTCACATGGAACTTCACATATAAATTTCAAACTAGAAATTGATTAAATCATTTCTACACCTACTCCATAACCATAGGCAAGTGAAATACATAGTTTCATATACCCACCCATTTCCATTAAACCAACTATAATAGGAAAGTTTTAAAATACACCAAAACAGCCCACATAAACCCAATTTCCAAGGGTTTACACCAATAGCTTCCACATATCAAATTTAACCTAGAAGTTGGTCTAAGCCATTTCTATACCGAATTCTTCACTTCCATAACAAGAGAAAAGTGACATGTATAGTTCCATATACCTAACCATTTCATATGGACCCATAGGTTACAAATAAACCAAAGTAGGAGGAAACCCTACCTTTTGGAGCTTAAATTGAAGAGTAGAACCTTCAAGAACACCAAGCAAGCCCAAAACTCTTGATTTTCCCAAATATCCTCTTTGGATCTTTGGTGAAATCCCTCATTTTTCGTGTGGTTGCGTTGCCCTCGTCGCATAGATGAAGTTTAATTCTTGGTCTGACAAATTCTGACCGATGGAACTTCGTAGATCGGAGGAGAAAGCCTTGAAATCTAACTTTTTTTTTCTCTCCTTTCTCTCTTCTATTCCAACGTGTGAGAGAATGAACAAAGGAGATATTTCTCCAAAAAATCTGATTTTAGTTGATATTTGTAGTCTCAAATGTGTGGTCCACATCGCACCGCATATTTTCTACTTTCGGATCCGTTTTTCGTCCCGAAATGATTCATTTCATCGCGGTTTAAGTTCAAATTAATTTTATTTGAACTTTAATTCAATTATAAGAAAATTTTATTATTTCTATTTTTGGGGACCTTTTTGAGGTCATTCAACACAGTCGTTTCGTAAAATATGAAAAAATCCATCTATATCAGAATTGAACAAAATTTGACAGGATAGTTCGATTTTGCGATACGAACGATGAGATCCGTTGTGTTATTCGAGCTCTAGAAAAATACAGATTTCAAATCCGTGTTATAATAAAAATTACCGTTTGCCTTTTTCAAAAAAAAGTTCAATTTTACCTGGGTTTTACATAAGATGAAGAGAATAGGAGAGATTGGATCTCCTTGCCACAAACCTCTAGAGGTAGAAAAGAAATCATGCCTCAACCCATTTAAACAAGCTAAAATATGTTAATTACTCAAACAATTCCCAATAATTGAAACAAAAAGCTCAAAAAATCCATATTACACCAAGTGAAAGAACTCCATTCAAATCCACAATCAACCAATCCCTCAGAGTGAATCAAATCTGCAAACTCCTCTATAGACACAAAATAGGGAAAAACATCCCCTGAACTCTCTTTTGAGTGTAAAATAGCGTTAAAATCACCTATCAACAAGCATGGCATATCAAAGGAAGAAGTTAGTTCCTGTAAGTGTTGCCATAGGGGTCTCCTCAGCATATAGTCACAGCAGTATAGACAACAGTAACCATAAAGGATTTTAATTCCAAAAATGACACATACATTGATATGGTCTGCTCATGCTCCATCACCACCTTAACCTCCACTCTTTGATCCCACAAGACCCATATATTCTTCTCAGCTTGTGAATTTGCCACAAGAACTTCTCAGCTAGTGAATTAGCCACAAGAACTCATCCCAATACTAGAAGCAAACGTCCCCAATTTAACAAAAAAACATTTTTGCTCTAAAACAGCTACCAAGCAAATTTTATCAATAGCTACCATTTTTTTCAACCTATTTCTCAATACATATCTACCTGCCTCCCCTAACATTCCAAGACAAAAAATTCATCGTAATGCAAGGGATTGAGAATTACCTCGAGGACTCTGCCAAGGACTAGAATTAGTGGAATTTGCTGCCACTTGTGCACTCAATGGGTCTCCATTTACCCCTATCTCTTCTAAATGGAGAGATGACTCACAAACATAATCATCAATTTATACAAAATACAATACAAGGTACACAATCTGATCAGAAACAACAACAACAACACAAATTTAAAAATTTTCTACAGGCACATATGAACTGTAGTTCTCACCCCCTAACCTAAGGGTAAATAGAGATCCATTGAGTGCACAAGTGGCATCAAATTCCACTGATTCTAGTCCTTGGCAAAGTCCTAGAGGTAATTCTCAATCCCTTGCATTATGATGTATTTTTTGTCTTGGAATGTTAGGGGAGGCAAGTAGATATGTATTGATAAATAGGTTGAAAAAGATGGTAGCTATGGATAAAATTTGCTTGGTAGCTGTTTTAGAGCAAAAATGTTTTTTGTTAAATTGGGAACGTTTGCTTCTAGTATTGGGATGAGTTCTTGTGGCTAATTCACTAGCTGAGAAGTTCTTGTGGCAAATTCACAAGTTGAGAAGAATATATGGATCTTGTGGGATCAAAGAGTGGAGGTTAAGCTGGTGATGGAGCATGAGCAGACCATAACAATGTCTGTTTCATTTTTGGGATTAGAGTCCTTTATGGTTACTATTGTCCTTTGTATTTTGTATAAATTTTCTACGGGCACATATGGACTTTCCTGATCTAAATAAAAGCCTTTATCTGGAGTTCTCTATGTTTCACTAATCCACAATCATCATCCAATGAAAAGCTACTCATTCTTCTAACCTCAAACTGATGATCCATATAAAAGGAAAAGCTATAACTTGGAGAAAGTTGTTTATTAAGGGTGCAAAAAGGTAACACATCCCCCATATTTCCCCTATCAAAATTCTCAGAGTCTACCTCATTTACTTTCCCCATTTTATTCCCTCCCCCACATTCAGATCTGATTCAGATTTAATTACCAGAACATTTTGCACATCAACACTTTTCTCAATAGGATTCTTAAACTGAATCACTTCCACAGTCTCATTATCCATCACTTTCTCAAGAGCTTCATGAGAGTTTCCCACCAATTCACCTTGAATATTACCCTCATCCAAGTTTCCCTTCAATACTGGATCCTTCAAGATCTCACCAATCATAGGAATAACCACCTTTTCATTAAGCACCTCTGGATTCCTTTCCTTTCTTGTTCCTTCTACTTGCATCACATTCCTAGAAAAGGATCATCCTTACCCGAGGCATCTCCATTCAATAGTTGGAATCCATTCTCCAATCCACCCTCCTCTTGTTCTTTATTTGAATTCCCTAAGAATTCCTTTCTAGGGACCTTTCCCTTTTACCACTTTCTATTCAAGATTGCAATTATGTGCTCCTTCCATATTCTTCTTGCGTGCTTCCTCCATATTTTCTTCCCCTACCATAGAATTTTGCTTCCCACCATCCACCATAGTGTTCTCATGAGAATCATGCTTTTTCTTCCCCTCTTTTTTACCCTTTTGACACTCAAAAAACCCATGACCATGGTTCATGCAACTAGTATAGTACTTTACATTCTTTTCATAGATTATCTTCCACCATCACCCACTCAATCCTCCAAAATCTAACCAGAATCTTGAAGGTTTTTTAGCTAGTAAATTCATCTCAACATATACCCCTCGTCACCCTAGGATTACTTAAATATAATGTAGGTGTATCAATCACAAGAATTCTCCTAATTGGACTAAGAATATCTCGAAGACTCTCCCTATTGAACAAATAGATAGGCAATCCAAAAAGAGAAACCTAGTCTGGCACCACCGGAAGCATAACAGAAATACACTAACCTACTAGTAGAAAACACAAAATGAACTACTGGTAGAATTACTCTCACAACTACTAATAGAACAACCTTCTATTTAAGACCTATGGGTAGAACAGTATCAACCTACTGGTAGCAAAAGTTTTTGTTTTACTTCTACTGGTAAAATGTAATTCTACTTGCTATTGAACCAAAGAAAACCTACTGGTAGCATTGGTCTTTTCCTCAATTATGCGGTAATGCCATTGGCTTGACTCCTCCTAGATCTCCTAACTCAACCTCCAAGTCCTCCATAGCATTAAAATGCACATAAAACCTTGCTTTTATATTAATTCACTTGCAAACACAAATATTCTCTATAAAATACAAAATTAAACTAAAACAACAAAAATAAGTAACTAACACATCTGAGACGAATGCTATGAGGCCTAAAATATGCAATATTATATTCTCATCAGTAGGAGTATGTTTTGGTTCACCTTTGTCTTCTATTGGCTCAGCCATTCCCCCATCCTTTTCTTTTTTACTCACAAGGTCTTCTCCTATGTCATTAATGACAACATTTATGGATTCCATTATAGTAGATGTTACCATATTAAACACTCTAAAAGTTCTGTTGTTGGTGTAGTATCCCAAAAATATCCCCTCATCACTCATAGAGTCAAATTTTCCTAAGTTTTCTCGATCTTTCAAAATGTAACGTTTGCTCCCGAAGATTAAAAAATACTTAAGATTAGGCTTTTTGCCCTTCCAAATTTCATAGGGGTTCTACCACATGTCGGGTCTAAGGTACAATCAATTGACCATGTAACATGAGGTATTTATCTCCTCAGCCTAAACCTTTATGGCAATCCTTTGTTGTGAATCAAGACTCGAGCCATCTCTTGAATCACTTTGTTTTTTCTCTCTACTGTGCCATTTTATTGTGGGATCTTGGGTACAAAAAACTTGTGGTTAATGCCATGTTTATCATAGTAAGCACATAAGTCAGAATTATCAAATTTCTTACGTGATCACTCTAGATTTTAACAACTTTACCTATGGCTTCACCTCGTTTAACTTTGGCTTTCTTGCAAATGTTTCTAAAGCTTGCAAAGCCTCAGATTTATCTCTTAAGAATGGATTCCAAGTGTACCTACAGTAATAATCTACCATGATTAAGATGTATCCCTTACCACCTATGTCCTCAGTTTGTGTAAGACCTATGAGATCTATGTATATGAGCTCTAGGGGTCTCTTAATAATGGTGGTCTTCAATTTTTTTATGAGGGACTTTGGTATTTTTCCTAATTGGCATAGACCACACACCTTGATAGACTACTTAGTCAACTTAGGTACTTCCCCCATAATCTTCTTACTCGTGATTAGGTTTAGGTCCTTGCAGTTCATGTGATCAAACCATTGGTGCTATAGTGTGACTTCATCAACACTTGCTCGATGACACATTATCCAAGGGTTTGGATATATGCAATAACAATTGTCTCCTGACCTAACCCTTTCCAAAAGACAATATATTTTATCATTCAATACTATGCACTTGTCCCTCATGAAAAGTATCGCATTTCCATCATTATACAATTGGCTAATGCTAATTAGGTTAGCTTTCACTCCTTCCACATAAAGGCCATTATCCAACTTTGGCATGCTCAAGGTAGAATGGACCCTTTCTAGCAACCTTGGAGATACTAACATCTCCAAGTGTGACAGTTCCACCACTACACTTCTCTAACATGCAGAAATGGGACTTATCTCTAGTCATGTGCCTAGAACAACCACTGTTGAATTACCATTTATTACCCAATTGATTTTTCAAGGTAGTGTGAACTACAAAACACAACTCATGACTCAATTTTGCAGCCAATTTCAAATAGATATGCAAGTAGTATATAAAAATTCCTACAATTGTCTATGATCTTAGGATAAACACGCTCTGCTACCAATTATTGCTTTGGGAAGGAAAATTGATGTGGATCTTCCCTCACGATTATACTTGTGCAATAATATACATTTACCTAGAAGGGGTGAATAGATTTTATAATTTTAGCACAATTGATTACTAATTAAAACCTAACCCACCACAGTGACTTCTTACCACGAAAATTTAGCAATTAATGTGAGAACTCATTTAGTCAGCATAACCCACCTTCACCATGGTAATTGATTAAATTAATATTCAATTAATTCACTCGAAATCAATCTCACGTCAATCCCAAATCCCAAACCCATATGTACAAGTATGTATGGATGAATATTCACACAATCATTCTAACAAGCACATAGTGTGTATGTGCTAGCAATCACAAGTTGTATAATGGACAAAAAATAAAACAAGTAATTTATTGACGTGGAAACCCTCCTCTGGAAGGACCGCAGAGAACTTTCTCGATTCACCAAAACCTAATCTACTACTCTCTAAGTCAAAATACAAGTACTCGAGTCTTATACCTCAACCAAAATCATGGTTAGATGTTCTTTTCCTTATTGTCTGTATAGCAAAGGTCCTCATTTGACATCTAGTGCAACTTTACTTGGACTTCCCAGTTGCACGATTCATCTATGCCTTGAGCAATCATGGGCATGCCAATGATCCTCATTATGCACACACCAATGGATTTATCAAACCAACAAGATTTTCTTTTCCAAGTTGTGAGGTTGGGTAGAATCTATAGTGGTAGCTTTTTAGGTCTTAGGTATCTAGGTTGTGGTAGAAGCTCTCAAGGTAGAAAGATGATTTTTTTCTCTTATAAATCTCACAAGAGGTTTGGCCTAGATGTGGGAAAGATTCTCCCTATTTATAGGTCCAAAATAAGGGTAGTCTTAATAGATAAGAAAACTTAGCTTCGTGAACGATCGCTTGATTGGTGAAAATGCAGTTATAGGGTGATTCTCTAGAATGAAAATCACATTTCAATCTTGACTAAGGCAAGCATCACTTAAGCAAACATGAGGACTACTCGTGTAGTCACGAAGGACCTCTTGTGCAAGCTCATCAAGAGAGCCCTATGTAGCTCTAGAGAAGACTGGTAAGCATAGATTGGTCCCTATGGGTTTTAAGCAGAAAACCATGCAAAAACTTGTCTTCTTGAGCACTAAAGGGTGTTGCTCAAATAGGGGTCTGATTATAGCTAAAACTATATTTTTACAACTCATAAACGGTTTAGAAATTTTTTCTTTTAGGTATCATTGTTGGATTGGCTCTAATTATATTTTCATCCTAATTAAATTTTTTTAAAAATAACTTAGGGTTTATCTTAGATGTCTAGGACATTACCTTTTCCTAAGCATGAAGGTGGATACAGAGGTTGAATTATGTTGTTTTGATGCTTGATCTCCTTCCTTTAATGATAATTTCAGATCTTGAACTTGATAGCATTATAACCATGGAAAGTTAAAAAGTTGAAAAGTTAAAATTAGTAAATGTTTTGATTTTTATGTGAGTAATTGGGCCTTGAACACTCTGACATGGATTTCATTTGAACTTTGGAACCCAATTCAGCCCATGGAAAATAAATTTATATATATTGCCTAGAAACTTGATATGATATCTGATGAGCTAGGTCGGGCTAGAAAGGTCAATCTAGGTCAGCTTAGCCAAGTTAGGTTAGCTAGGTCATCCCTTCTAGAAAGGACTTTTGCCATCAAACCTTATTGGGCAAGAAGACGCAATCTTTAAAAGGCCATGTCATCCTTTCTAGAAGGCCAAATATTTTTTGACAATTCTGTTATAAAAGATAATGATCACTGTGTAAAAGTAAAGGCCTATATGCTCCCTAAAGCAAGAGAAAACCCTGCTATACTCGCATTCTTCTTCCCCAAGCAATACACAACCAAAGAGTAAGAGCCTCCATTACAGTGGACTCATTCATATCTTTAGTTGGACAAACCACTTTTCTTTTTGGTGTATTTTTTTACCTCTTTTAGCACACACACACACTCAAAATACCTCACTTAGAGCTCATATGTTCTTTCACCTCACGTTTCATATTTTTTACCCCATCATAATCCGTATTTTATTGCCGATTTATTGGAAAATAAAAAAATATTCATGCACCCTTCAGTATGTGAATGCTTTGCTTGAATTAATTGTATTAATAGCTCCTTTTTGCTTGAGTTTTTAATGTACAATGATGGATAATGATTAGTGCTTAAAATTAGCATTTTACTATGCCTTTTTAGGACTAATTGTACTTTGATGGAGTTTAAGTAATGACATTTCAGGTCCTAAAGTGAACAAAGGCTCAAGAACAACAAATATCACACTTGAGTGTAACACCAGTGCATTAGGGAACAAAATTGGAGAAGGTTGGAACAAAGTAACCACGTCTGAATGTCAACTCACATTCGTACATCCACTTGAACTCTGAGAAGTCCAGACTGTTGAGACATGGCGTGTTGTAATCAAGAAGG